CTTTGATACTACATATATAGGTACTACATGTGGACCTCTCTCAGATTTGTTTATTTCGTGATGATATCTTCAATTCTCTAATTTTGGTGAATATTTTTGTCATTTTTGGTAAAAAGTGATATTTTTGACTTCTTGTTAAAAACCGCAAGTCCGATTGCTTTGATATTACATATATAGGTACTACATGTGGACCTCTCTCAGATTTGTTCATTTTGTGATGATATCTTCAATTCTCTAATTTTGGTGAATATTTTTGTCATTTTTGGTAAAAAGTGATATTTTCGACTTCTTGTTGAAAACTGTAAGTCCGATTGCTTTGATATTACATATATAGGTACTACATGTGGACCTCTCTCAGATTTGTTCGTTTTGTGATGATGTCTTCAATTCTCTAATTAATTTATTTTGGTGAATATTTTTGTAATTTTTGGTAAAAAGTGATATTTTCGACTTCTTGTTAAAAACTGTAAGTCCGATTGCTTTGATACTATTCATATTGTTCATTTTCTAATGATGTCTTCAGTTCTTTAATTGAAATGTGCATTGCTAACAGCCGATAGGCTGCTTGTTTAATCAAGCCACAATTATGTGATCATCTTCTAATCAGCTAAATTGCAGCTCTATAGTGAACTCTTTCAGATATCGAAGAAAAAAAATTCAGATTAGTCTCATGGTTTGGCCGCCATCTTGGATTTTAGGTAAAAATGACCAAAAGTTTGGCCATTTGTTTCTCAAAGGTGCTTCAACCTATCAACTAGATATGTTGTATATATCATGTTTGGCCATTGCTCCATTTGAAACAAATAATATAGTTTTCATCAGTCACATGATGTGGCCGCCATCTTGGATATTGTGCAAACAGAAATTGTTCAATTATATTGGTCCAATTGGAAAAAAATTTCGTGCGTGTATTCTTTCCCCTAAATGGCATATGCATAACTGCTATATCTTAAACACTGTTGTAGTTAGGAAGATGAAACCTTCTGAATTATGATGAAGTTAAACGAGATATTTGACTAAAATAACAAATGACCATATATGGTCATGTGAACTCATTAATATGCATAACTGTCATATCTGAAACACTGTTGCGGAACGAGACATGCAACCAGTGCTATAATGAAAACATCAAACAAAAGATGTAACTGACATAAAACAATACCATTTATGATTATGTAACCTCATTAATATGCATTACCACATGGCTCATTATATATTCTCAAATACATATTTTGATAACCAAACTAGGTAAATACATTGAACCAACTGCATGTTATTTTGTCCTCATTATTTATGGAATATAAATGTATGCTCTAAAGCTTGGGCCCCGGTGACGCCGCTTGCAGCTTTAATTTGTCATTGTTATCATCATTGTCATCATCATTTTCATCAGTGGGTTAGCAGTGTTCTCCACATGGGGTTCTACCTGGACGACCTTCCCACTGAGTTTTATGGTGGTCCAGTGTCTGTTAACACCTTGCCCACCAACATACTTCTGCCAGCTGAGCAGTTGTCATTGTTATATTATGGTTTGTGAACAGCTAGCTGTGTTCTTCCCTAGCCCTCATAAAATAGTAGTTTCCTATCCCTTTTCGCTGTCAAAAAATAAACAATCATGGTTGGAAGTCTGCAATCAGTTTATTCCTGTTAAAACAGCCAAACAGTTTTTTTCCATGTATCGATTGTCTAAATTCCCTTGTGTGTATCAAACTATCCATATGCTTTGGTGTCTTGGGCTTTCTAATCTGTAATTTCAATCTCTAATTATCACTTTGCATAACAATTAATTAATAAAATAACACTTTCTATTGTGTAAATTAAATACAGGTG